CCCAGCAAATGGGTTAATGTATAAAAAAGTGAAAAATAACCCAGATGTATTCTGTTCAATATTTACCCAGCGCTGAGTTGCCAAATCATCCAGAAATGGTTGTTTTTAACCCAGCATTTTTTAGGGTGTGGACAATTACAATGATGCTGACACAGATGGAAAGAAAGACAAAGTTTTCTCAGTCACATACCTGTATTTGTGTCTGTGTGTCTCCTGCAGAGCTTTAGTAAGTGCTAATCTTCCTCTCAGCACCTGTCTGTGTCATTCATCTTCCCTCAACTGATCTGTCCTCTCCTGTTGTCCTCCATGTGCTGTCTTCCTCACAGTCAACTCATCATCATCAGCATGAAACCTCTCTCGTTTTAGGTCTGATTGTTAGTTTCTCTCTTTCTTGAAAAGACGCTGTTTCATCAATCCAGCTTTAATCTGCTTAATCTCTCTCTGCAGCTCTTCCTCTCAGTTGTGTTCCTGCCAGTCTCACGGCATTTCTCAATTACAAATACACTGTGTATGAATGCAAATATTTCATATGTTCCCCAAGAACAAACATCTTAAAACACTGATCATTAACTGTTTAATGATCATTAATTTTGTCTAATGAAAACTGCTAAAATAAGTTTGTTATTATTATTATTATTAATAAAATGTGCAGCATATGGTTTGAGAATTATTGTCTAATGTGATTGACTGTAGTTATAGTAACTGTCTCATAATCTGATTGGCTGCTGTGTTTGTAGTAAAGACAAGAACAGGAGGTCAATGGTGTGTGTGTGTGTGTGTGTGTGTGTGTGTGAGAGAGAGAGAGAGAGTGTGTCTGTACCTGGTATTCCCTATATTATGGGGACCAAATATCCCCACAGGTATATTAATACCAGTAAATTTAGACCTTTTGGGGACATTTGTTTGGTCCTCATGAGGAAAACAGTTTAAAAATAATACAAAATTATTATTATTATTTTTTTTAATCTAAAAATGCAGAGTTGTGTGAGGCATAGGGTTAGGGTAAGGGGATAGAAAATACAGTTTTTACAGTAAATAAACCATTACGCCTATGCAGAAACCGCATATACAAACGTGTGTGTGAATAAAAGATTCAGATTGCAAAAGCTAAAATAATTGTGACTGGAAAAATTCTACACATTTAATTACAAGTGATTTGGAATCACAAATGTCAAATCAAATCTGGAATAAACAATGGTTTGTGTTCTTATTGCATCATTTAACTAATTGGATATACAGTTTATCTCTTTATCTTTATCAATAAACTCTTTATCAATTTTCTTCAATCTAACAATATTTGCCTTGTTACATTTCTATTTTTGTTGATTAACATTCTTTATATTGTGACAGTATCATATGTTTTATCTCCATTGTCAACACTGACAGGTTGTATAACCAGTGGGGCATTGTTATTTCCTGTGTCATTCATGTCTGGGTTGAAGTAGGCCAGTAAGCTCTCTGTAAAGCGCTGTCCTGTGAATGAGTAGATATGTGCGCGTGCACTCGTATCATAAAATGATACCTGACCTTTTCCGTAATCCACATATATGCCAATTCTTTGTGGAAGAGTCTTTAGTGACAGAAGCACTGATTCACCGTCACAGGCCCTGTACTCGGTGCCCCCTCTCAGACAAACTGCCCAGTAACCATCCTCTGGGCTCAACGTCACCAACCCCTTCCTGTTGACAGATCTCCTGGCCACTCCCAAGTCCCAAGCTGTTTTACCTGAGACTCCAACTTCCCAATAACCCCTTCCCCTTGAGATAGGCTCTCTTGACAGGACACATGGTGCCATGTCAAAACGTTCAGCATTGTTTGGAACATTGCGTTCTACATTGCCATCAGTCACACACTTCCTGTCTGCAGACACCACCAACCAGGGGTTTGCTGTGTCAGGGTCAAGGGTCATATCCACTGCAAGAATTAGATCAGACAAAGTCATAGTAAGTTTTCTGATAAATAGAAGTATGTAATTTATAGTGTATCCACATGTTTTATTATAACAAAGAAGCAGTTGGAAATGTACCAGAACTGTAGGTGCTGAAGTGTAGATATATGTATAAGATTTTCAAAGATTAAAGTAAAGCTTCAAGATGGTTCAACGTTTCAAATAAAGACTCCAAGTTGTTAAAGTTGTTAAAAAAATAATAATTAAAATATTCAAGATGGTTCGAAGACTCGAGTAAAGATTCAAGATGGTTCAAGGACTCAAGTAAGGAAGATTGTTCAAGTATTTGTGATTGTTTAAAGGTTCAAGAAAAATTAAAATATTGTTAAAAAAATTCAAGTAAAGATTCAATATGGTTAAAAAATTAAATATTCAAGATGATTCAATGATACAAGAAAAAAAAATAGATGCCTCAAAGACTCAAATACAGATTCAGGATGACTCAATGGGGGGAAAAACATTAAATGCATTAAACAAAACTAATTAAAAAAATCAAAAGATTAAGTTTCAAAATGGTTTCAAAACATAAATTATCATTAAAAGATTAAAGTAAAGACTCAAGATTGAGTCTTTTTAATAGAGATTTTAATAGATATTTTATAGTCCAAGTCTATAGAATATTTATAGATCCATAGCTTAACTTATATTATAATACCTGCATACTGGGATATTGCCTCAAGTTCTGTGGAAAACAAAAATAAATAAATAAATAAAAAAAATATGTATATATATTCCATCACAATTATATGTAACTTTCCTTCACAATTAGAATACTAACAGTTAGTTGTTGTTTTTAGCTATCAAATGACATAAAAATAATAGTAACCTCTCTTTGTGACGGTGTATATTTGTGTTTTCAGCAGTTCTTCTGCAGCATTCAGGGTTTCTCTGAGCACCTCCAGACCCTGATGGGTGTGCACACTGACCTGAGACCAGCTTTTACACTTAGGCACCTCACTTGGACTACGGAAAGCCTGGAAGGGTCAAATACAAATACAATAATTAAAGGCATCATCCTGTGTCACAACATTCAATATTTTATTATATGTATATATATATATATATATGAAGAGTTCAGATGCAAAAGCCATTAAGTGCCATCTGAAATTTTCATCTAAAATAATTTTTATCAGGCTCCTACATTTATGTTCAGTTCTTTCACATTAATAGCATAGAAAATGACCTACACATTGGCATTCAAGTAAAATTACTGAACCTAAGCATAGGAGCCTGATAAAAATGCTGATTTTAGATTAACATTTCAGACGACACTTAGAGGCTTTTGCATCTGAACTCTTCATATATATATATATACACACACACACACAGGTGCACACACACACTGTAGTTAACATTTGAAGTGGATCAAAACCTTTCATCAAAGTTGTCCTAAAACCA